AAGAGCGCAATGATGGTGCCAACTTGGGCCAGTGAAGCAACGTCCTCCACAACTAGACTGAAGAACAAAAAAAGACAGCAACTTGTCTGTTCCCCTTCCCCCCAGTTCCCCAGCACTGTTCCCATCCCCCCAATTCCCCAATAAAAATCTTTAAAAAAAAAAAAAAGAATTAGCATCTTTAGAAGGGACTTTATTAGCTTTACATTTTAGCAAGCCCTTCTGCTTGAGATTTGAAGATGATGAATTGGCAGAGGGAAAATTAGGATCCTAAAGACCAGTTAGATTATTGCATTAGTCAAGGCAAGAGATGAGAATGCTGGAACTAATGCAACAGTGGTGGTGATGAATGGAGTTAGGGGAAGTGTTAGAAAGATAATAAGGATGTAAAATATACAGGTCTGGGTTACTAATTGGATGTAGGAAGTGAAGGAAAGGCCTGTGGTACAAATTCCAGATTGCTGGTATAGTGATCAAGTGGGCAGTCTCTATTTTCACTCCCACGATGAGAACACAGGCGAAGCAGACTTATTTAACAAGAGAATGAATTCTCTTTTCTATCAAATATGTAAGAAAAAGAGAGCTCTCTCTCAAAATACATTTGAGTCAACTGCTGCTTAGTCTTAGAATCATTGTAAGATTTAATAACAACACTGAGTGTGATTTTTCCATATGTGCTGCTTCATTTTAACCAAGTATGACTAATGGCTAACATATCTAATCTCTAAATGTATAATAAAGTAGCATTTGAACTGATGAGGTTGGTGCTTATTTGTAGATGTAATAATTTGTTACATACACATGTGTGTTCATCTTAGAGTAGGTAAAAATAATGGCAATGCGTAAAGTACCTATCAAGGTGTCCAGCCTAATGTTCTTTGCATTTTTTTATTAGTAGGCCATATAAGTTAAGGCTGAACTATGCAGTCTAGCTGTACAGCAATGTAAAATCGTCCTGCTTTCAATGTGTATTATAGGTACATTGAATATTTTCATAGCGGTAATTCATTTTTCAATTTATTGAATATAATAGTTTTGCTCAACCTCTTGACTTTTTCGTATTGTAAGAATTCTTCAGAATTCTAATTCTGAAAACACATCTCATTTAAGATACAATGTAATGTGTTGGTCATTTGCAAGATTTCTTTTTTGCCTAAAGCAATCTCCTGTACTACACTTCTAGGTCTTAAAAGATGCTGATATGATGGTAGATTGGACAGATATATGAATGAATGAACATACAGATAATAGTTGATGGAAACATAAATTGAGAGATAATGGTATTATGGTTCTGTGGAAGTTGAGAGGGGACTGTGGTATAAAATTCTTGTTCTGTAGAATGATTAAATGACTTGGGCAGGTATCCTAAATTCTCTGTGCTTCAGTTTCCTTATTAATAAGATTGAAAAAATTATAGTGCTTCTCTCATAGAGGTTTTGTGATGATTAAATGAGAGAATGCATATCAAGCACTTAGCACCATGCTTGACACTCTAAAAATGCTAGTGATGAGGAAGAAGAGGAAGAAGAGAAGCAGAGTTATTAAGAAGAGATCTAATAAATTCGGATTTATTTTTATATTTTTTAATTTACTTGCCACAATGATTTAGATGGTTTGAGTGAGAATATTTCATCCTTAATGTCCAGCATCCTTATTTAGATGACAGACATTTAGTAAAAGGGACTGAATTACATGATCTATAATACCTCCTAGCTCTGTGATTGAATCTCCAGGAATAAATAAAGCTTCTTTCAGTGTGCTAATGAAGACATCATTAAGATAACATGAGTCTCCTAAATAAGACATTTATCTTTAAATATGATTAGCATCCCACTTTAATAGGGAATCTTTTAGCATATAGATAAGGCAGAAAAGATTATTTAACTATGTAAAGTACTAACCCATGTCAACTAGAGATAGAAGAAACCAGCGCTGTATTTCCTTCTGTGTTTAGAATTACTTTCTACTCCACTTTCATATGTCTATGGTTCTCTGACAAATTTCAGAATCACTTAATTAAAGTGATATCCAGTGATAATTTTCATATTCATTCCACCATGGTAAGTGTCACATACTTTGCCCAAATTGGAAAACACTGTTTAGGCTTTTAGGGTATTTTTACCCTGAAGACAATGATTATGTGTGAAATTGGTATATTTAGATGAGTATTTTATAAGACAATACTATTAGAGTTCTAGAAATTAGATTTAGTAATTATAAGCATATACAGCTATTACAATCCATAAAAGTGAGTGGGATTACTGACTTTTCCCCATCTTACACTTCTGCACTCTAAGCCACCACTGTCATTGTCATCATTACCACCACCACCACCACCACCATCATCATCATCA